CATGGAGGGTAAACTCAAGAGGATGGGGGCTGGCCTGCTGTCCCTAGACCAGCCCCTGGCACAGAGAAGGAACAAGAAAGGACCCTGCTTGGGCATCTTGCATGGGAGTATGAGGCACACTGAGGAAAGCCAGTTCTGCCGCTTGACAGCTGTGTGGCCCCCAGAGCAGGATGCAACCTCTCTGAGCCCACTTCTCCCTCCACAAGACAGGGTTATTTAATACTATTTGTTTTCATGCATTCCATGATCTTACACACGCACAAGGCTTAGCATCCAGCAAGAGCTCAATAAATATTACGTCCTGGATTTGAACTTTGATTTTTTTTTTTTTTGGCTTTAGACCAGGTCTCAGACTCTTTCTTCCAGCAACATGCTGCAAGTTTCTGGGGAATAGGGACCGGCTACCCCTTGCCAAGACACCCAGCACAATACTAGGAATATGGCCAATACTGAGAACTTCCCTGCTGATTTCTCCAGACTCCTCCATTCATGTGCAGTTTCCGTGGAGTTCTCTAAACCTTGTTAAACCTGTTTACAACTTTAGGCTGAATTCCTCTGAGTAAGAGGATCCAAGTGATTGCTTTCTCTGGTTGAACTAAGTGTCTAACCTTAATTCTTCTTGTTTTAAATCCAGCCCATTTTCTCACACTCTGTCCTGAGGTGGGAGCAGCTGTTCGTTTTTCCCCTGAGAGGTCACATGCCCTCAGCAGGAAGAAAGTGCCCCCATCCCCACTCCCAACCAGGGAATGTCCCTGGTACCTTTCCTCCCGGAAATTTCTGCGCGGAATAGCTTTCCTTTTCTTTGATGCAGTAATGCCTCTTTGGGCTAGTCATTCTCTCACCAGGCCTTTTAGGGCAATATTCCTGAGCCTTCGCAGCTTGGGGAATTCCAAGGAACTCGAGTCAGACACCCAGGACCCTCCTCACTGCCCAGGAGGCAGCCCAGGCCCCCTTCTTGTATGGATGAGGGAAGCGAAGGTCACCCAATGAGTTGGTGGCACAGCCAGTTCCTGACTCACTGCCTCCTGCCCCCAGGCCACTGGGCCCACCCGTGGGGCTCTCACTCCACTCACTCCCGAGGCAGGGTTCTCTCTGGCCAGCCCCAGAGAACAGAAGGGTCTGGCTTTCTGCATAAAGAATGTCAGGGACACTGTGGTCAGCAAGCCTCTAGCATCCCCTGTCAACTTCCTCCTGGCATTTTAGGCCAACATCCTGCGTCACCACCTGTGACCTTGAATGCAGACTATTTGTTGTGAGGTGACCACACCAGCAGGGCCAGGGCTCTTGATGAAAAACAGAAAGCAGTATTGATTCAGTGTATACACACATGCACACGCACACGCGCACGCATGAGCGTGCACCATCTCCGTGTATAAACAGCAGCACAGTGGCCTCTCGGGTCTGCGGGCCTTCTTAGCATTCCCTTGGCTCTCAAATCTTGTGAGCCAGGCCTGGAAGCTCACCAGTAATTCCCACAGCCCTTCCCAAAGCCTAAAATTGAGTCACAGTATTGAATCCTACAGCCAGAAATCATCTGTGCTCCTGCCCAAAGCAGAAAACCCACTTCCAGTTTGCCTATTGACAGGGCGTTCAGGACCCACCAAGGCACCTCACCCCCTGCTGGTCAATCCTGGAGGCTGCCTGGAGGAGCAGAAGGAGCAGGGCTAGGGGGTCAGAGACGCCTGAGTTCAAACCTCGACTCCAGTGCTTGCTAGCTGTGTGGCCTCAGTGAATGTCGCTTTACCTCTCTAAGCCTTCATTTCTCCATCTGTACAATGGGGGCTAAAACATCTGCCTTCTGGAACTGATGTGAGGATTAAATGAGAGGACACACAGAAACCCGAGTGTCAGCAGCCAGCTCCCCACCCTGGAGATAACAGAGCATCGTGACCATCGTCACGACAACCACTGATTCTACTGAGAAATGTGTGTCATGGACGGTGCTCCATGCCTTATGTAGGGTATGTTATTTAATCGACCTCTAAGGGAAGCACTGGCATTGCCCCCATTTCACAGGATGAGGAAGCCAACACTTAGAGAAGCGTGTGTCAGCTGCCAAGGCCACACAGGTAGAAAGGGCAGGGCAGGGACTGGGACCCAGGTAACCCGAACTGGAAACCTGCTTGTTTAACCACTGTCATACAGGCCTCTTCAAACCTGCTGAGGGTAAGCACTCAGTAAATGCTAGTTATCATTAGGGTGATAATTACTGGATCACCAGGAGTCTTTCCTTCCAGTCTGAAGCCTTCTCCAAGATTTTAGCAGGAGCATTTTGCCTTTTCATGGCCTCTCTGCTTCCAAACTTCTCAGAGGTGGCTCAGCGTGGATCATTCAATAGCCCCAGAAGCCCTGTCTCAGTTCCTTGGTGCGTCTACTGAGCTGCAACACTCAGCCCCTTCCTCAATTACCGGCAAAAACCCATTCCCCCAGGCATCTGTGGGTATGCGCTGGATTGAACTGAAGATGGGATGCGGAAAAATGTTTACTCTGCAGAACACAATTTTATTAAACATTTTTAAGCATCCTTTTCTCCCCAACCCTACACCTCCAAGAATTTCTCCCTGTTTGAGTTGCCTCATAGGGCTGGCTCCTGCCTTCCAAGGGCCAGGCACTCTACCCACGAGGGTCTCCTCTCTCCTCCCCCATCCCACACCCCTCCCTCTGCCCCTCAATGCCAGTTGGTCAGGGATAGGAATTCTGCTGCCCTCAGCCCTTCATCCCAAACCTTCCCACTGTCACACCCATCAGGGGGCGCTCCAGTTAACTAGACCCACTCTTACAGGGCAGCGGGGCCTATGACGGGTCTTCATTCCTTGGCACCATGCCTGATATCTGGTGGGTGCAGGGATGATAACCATAACAGCTCAAGGAAATTCTTCCTCAGATTAAGTAGCAACAAGCTTTTCTCCAATAATGATCCTAAAATACCAAAATCTCTAACCTTGGAAAATTTTGCCTACAATTTCTATGACATGCAGCAAGCCCTCATTGTGTGGTTGTGTGCGACTGTCCTGTGCAGGGCAGGACATTTAGGAAACCCAGGTTCTGTATGCCAATAGCACCCCACCTCCATCATTGTGACAGCCGAAAATATTCCCCCCCACCTCTCTCTCTCACACACACACACACACACACACACACACACACACTGGGTGCAAAACTACATCTCTCATTTTTCATGAAGAGTAGCAGAATATTCCACTCTAAAATATGTCTCTTTGGCATATAGATTATTTTGAGTTGTAGACAGTTAAAAAGCAGAAAATGCAACAAAAGGCTTTCTCTGAACTCCCTTTATCTGCCTCAAGACAGATCCTCCAAAAGGAACTCAGTTGTCAGTCTCCTCCCCAAAAGTGTTGTCAATCAGAGGGGATTGAGTGTAGGCCCAGGAGAGGAGACCAGAAGTCGATGCCACAACCACACGAGCTTCGCCACAAACTATCATGCCTCCCATTTATTCTTCTAAGAGCCCGTTCATCTTTCCTAAAAATCATCTCCTCTCCCCTAAGAAGCCAGCATCCTCCGGCCCCTTTCCCTATTAAGATGGCATTTCAGTCTGAATTCTAAACCACCTCCTGGGTATGGCCCATGTGGTCATGAGGTTTACATGTTCATAAACTTCTGTTTTTCTCTTATTAATATCTTTTATAACAGGGGTCTCAATTAAGAACTCAGAAGGATAGAGGGAGCATTATTTTTCTTCTCCTCCACACACGAGCTCACAAGGCTCAGAGAGGCAGACAGCTCTGCCTGAGATCACACAGCCAATGAGGCTGAAACGCAGGCCTCCTGCCTCCAGAGGGAGGGCCTGGCCCAGGAGAACTGGCCCCCTTACTGCCCCACTGTGAGTCTGAGGCCGTTCTGCCTCCAGGCGGGGAGCCAGAGAACAAGGGCCCTCATTTCTCCCAGAGCTCTGCAAACCCAATGACTTGTCCCCTCTGGAAGGGCCAGCAGGGTGCCAGGCAAACCACAGCAGAGAAAACCTCAGCCTCTCACATGCTGAGGACTCATGGATTTTGCCTGGTTCCCAGTAAACCAGAAACATTGGCATCAGGTGAAGTCAGCAGGGGCGTTGGCCTGAGGAAGAGCGAGCCAGCCAGACCTCACCCGGGCAGCTCTCAGGAGAGGCAGCTATTCTCCCCAGAGCCTGGATACCACTACCCCGGCACCCCCAAGTCTTGCCATGGGGTTCCTGTCTCAGCTGCCCAGGGATGGAGGGTGGGGGGGGATTTCCATGGAGAAGGGAGGATTTCCAGAATCAAAAAGCCAGTATGTGCCAGCAAGCCATGCTCTCCAGACATGAGGACCCACCAGGCCACACACACAGCTCCACCTGGGGGTGGGGCAGAGGGCAGCCCCCAAAGGGCATGACCTTTACTGCACCTCCTACTGTGTGCAGAGCACCACCAGTCGCCTCTGAATGAAACCTTATGTGACCCTGCCAGGTAACCACTGCAGCCTCATTTCACAGACGAGGCAAGCCTGCCCAGTGTGTCACAGAGGCTAGTGGATCTGCTGCTCACTAGCTATGTGACAGAGGACATATCCTCTAACTGCTCTGGGCTTTAGTTTCTCCTTCTGGATCCTTCAGGAAGGTGGTGCCTGCCCCTAGGATGGTTCAGAAGCAAAACGGGTGTACTTTTGTGAGTAGCCCCGTGCCTGGCTCACAGCAGCTGCTGAAAGTAATGCTGTTGGAATCAGCAAGTTGATCAGGTCGCACGTGATGTAATTAATTAAAAACACAACTTGATTTTTGCGTCTCACTATCTCTTTAAAATGCAATCAGGAGGGTGACTCTGGGAACAGGCAACTTTCCTGCTCAATCTGGGGTAAGGACACTCTTTCTGAGATAGTCATGAGAATGCCCAGACCCATGTAGATTGTTCTGGTTCAGAAACAGTGGCGGTGGCCAGCTTCTCCTCTCGCCACCCCTAAGCCCCATAGTCCGGCTGTAGTTTATACCCAGCTGGGTTTGAGCAGCAGAGAAGGAACGTTCTTACCTGGCTGGTTCTGTGGTGAGCTGGCTTGATGCTCTCTGAGCCTGAGCTGTCTTTCTTGTGGGCAGATTCATGGCGGTGTCCGAGGCTCCTAGGTAGGCCAGTGCTTTCCCTCTGCCCTCCTATACACAGAACTCCCCCGCCAAGGCCTCACCCCTTCCAGAAAATTCTCCAGGGCAGGCACTGGAAGGGCTGCTGTTCCGCGGTCCTCGCCCACATGGGCCTCAGGGCACCCCCTCTGAAATGAGGGTCACCCTCTCTCCCGACAGAGGCCACCTGAGCTTTCTCCAGTCCCCAGCGTCCCCCAACCTTCAGGGAACACTAGTCAAGCTCTCTTCAGGTGGTTTATTTGAGTCGGGAAGCCCCGTAAAAAGACCGGCATGGACCCCCAAGCAGGGCCACTACTCTCCTGTCGACACCACCCGGTCCCCTGGCCCTGCGGCTCTATCTCACTTCTTGCCTCTGAAACGGCTTACTTAACCCTAAAATTCTATTGGTTCCCTGAGCTCACTTCTCATTGGTTATTTCCTTCACTGCTGACTGGTTATTTCTCTCACTCCTGATTGGTCCATTTCCCTCACTCCTGATTGGTTATTTCTCTCACTCCTGACTGGTCTGTTTCTACAAAGCTTGTTCCTGGTTGGTCAACTTCTGTTATACTTTATTTGCATACGATGTTGCAAAGTGTAAAACTGGCAGCCTATGAAGGCCTGTGTAAAGCTACAGGCGGGCTCCAAAGCTTGGAGTGATAACTCCTCTGGGCTGGCTGGCGTAATAAACCTGAGTTCTCCAGCTGTTCGGGTGCTGCTTCATCTCTACCCCGGGTCCAGGTTGCTGTTACAACTGAGCTGTGCCATCAAGCTGTAACACATTTTTCCGCAACATTTCAAGATGAAGGAGGTGGCCGCCCCCGCCTCACACCCTGGCCCCCTTCATGGCCCACCCCCGACACAAAAGCTTTCTTCAAAGACATTTCTCACAAATCTTCTCTCCCGTTCCTTTCTCTTAATGTTTGCTCTTCAAGGGTCATGGCATTTTCTGTCAATTTCTTGCAAATTTCACTGACCTCGCTCACTCCACCCATGTGGGCATTGCTATCTATTGTCCAAACATTTAGCATCTCTTCCACTCTGATTGGAACTGGCTCGGGGAGGAGGAAGGACTGAAGGGGACCTGGCTTTGTGGAGAGGAAAGTTTGGGGTCTTTTTAGATAGTAGGTGGGAGTATTTATTCAATCCTCTTTTACATCAATAAAGGCATCTATAGCCATTGCAGAAATACTCAAACAAGCATAAAGAAAATGAAAATTGCCCATAATTACACGCGAGAGACAAACATTGTAAAAGTATAAAGTCTTTTCTGTTCACATATATGGCAGGATAATTTGTTTTCCCCTCTGCATTGCCTCTGCCCTTGTCTGAGCTCACAGAGGATTTTGTGCTAAGTGTCCTAGAGGGAAAGAGAGAGAGAGGGCTTTGGCCTTAAGAACAGGGAGAAGTTGGGGAGGAGGAGGGGAGGGGAAGGACAATGGAGAGGGAGGGGCTTCCCAATAGGGAACAGGCGGGGCCTGAAGGGGGTGGTTGTGAGGACGTCTAGCAGGGCTGAACCCCAGACACCCTCAACTCCCTCAATCCCCACCCCCAAAGAAGCAGGAGTTTGGGGGCTCTCTGGCTAGTGTGGACAGAGGGGAGAGGGAAGGAGCCCCAAATGAGACTGAATTTCCACTGGTCCAATTTAAAAATTGAGACAAACTTGACTTTTCTTACATATCTAAGTAGCACCTGCTACTCTCTCTCTTTCTCTAATAATTTGCAGAAACTTTGATATGTATGGACTACGGTACATACTGTAGCGGGATTATGTACCCTGTGTTTTCCCTGTAATACATCATGAGTACTCTCTTCTATCATGGAATATACTTTTAATTAATTTTTTGAGATATAACTCTCGTAACATAAAATCCATCATCTTAAAGTGTGCAATCAAGGATTTTTACTATATTCACTACGTTGTACAATTATCACCACAATCTAATTCCAGAACGTTTCCATCATTCCAGAAAGAAATTGATACCTGTTAGTGGTTAGTCCCAGTTCTCCCCTTCCCCTGACTCCTAACAACCACCAATCAACTTTCTCTCTGTGGATTGGCCATTCTGTGTAGGTCATCTGAATGGGATCGTATAAATGGAATTATGTCTGGCTTCTTTCACTTCGCATAATGCTTTCAAGTTTCATCCACGTGGTAGCATGTAACAGTCCTTCTTTTCTACAATGTTCCATTGTACGGATATGCCATATTTTGTTTGTCTCTGCATTAGTTGATTGACATTTAGGTTGTCTCCACTTTGGGGATATGAATAATGCTGCTGCGAGCATCTGTGTACTACAAGGCTTGGTGTGGACAGATGTTTTCATTTCTCTGGGGTTTATACATAGGAGTAGAATTGCTGGGTTATGGTAATTCTATATTTAGCTTCTCAAGGAACTGCCAGACTGTTTTCCACAGTGGCGACACCATTTTACATTCCCATCAGCAATGTATGAGGATTCCAATTTCTCCACATCCTCACCAACACTGGTTATTTTCCTCTTTTTTTTTTTTTAATTATAGCCATCCAAGTGAGATACCAAATGGTATCCCATTGTGGTTTTTGACTTGCATTTCCCTAATGACTAATGATGCAGAGCATGAGTACGCTTTTAAATTGTGATTTTAGTGGCTGTGTAAATTCCATGATAGATTACTGTCATGTATTTTTAATTGGCTATTACTGAATATTCAAGTTGTTTCTATTTTTCTAATTCACACATACACATAAGCCTTGGCAGATCTCTAAGCCAGGCTTATTCTGGGTGCTGTTGTATGGTGTTGAACGAAACAGATCCAATACCTGCCTTTTGGAGCACAGTCCAGTGATTTAGTAAGTAATCATGCTAAGACGTCTATCATTAGAAAGGCTGTTGGGTATTATTATGGAAAAGTGCAAGGGGCACACGTAGGAGGAGCATGTCATTCAGAGCGGAAGGGCGGGGGAGGCCTGGGGAGGGGGAGTTAGCCAGGGGTATGGTGGAGGCAGGGGAGAGCATTCCAGGCAGCGGGAACATCAGAGACGACCCCCTTGTGATGAGAAAAGGCTTTGCTGTTTCAGAAACTAACAACAGACCTGAGTGACTGGGCAGTCTTGAGGAGAGAGGGAAGAGGTGTGGGGTGGAAGGGACGGATAGGAGCGGGGATGGACTGTACTGATTGACAGCTGCAGGATGGCTAAAAACGTGGACCATTGTTTTCTTTCCAACATGTTAATTAAAATAACAAAGGAGAAATGAGGAGAAGAAAGGAGCAGGGGAGGGAGGATTTCTGAAGATAGCACACTTACATGACTCTTGCTCCACATGTCCCTACACCAACCAGGCTGAGTCACCAGCAGCTACCCAGACACTTCTGTCACCTGCCACGTCCATGCTTAACCTGAACGACTTACACATGGGCCACCACGTACCACACTGAGCCATCCTGTCACCCTGGCCAGGACTGCCTGGACCAACATGGGTGTTTAACCCAAGAGTCGTTGGCTTGTGGCTGAGAAGTGATCAATATGGTATAATAAAAATAACTAGTATTTGGTCTTTGTCCCTGGTTCCTGGCGCAGAGGTCCTAAATTCCTTGAAATTTATTATCTTTTGCATACTAATAAGATGACCCATGGTGGGGGCAGTTCTTGATCAGTTCAGGATGGGGGCTGGCTCTCTTCACTCCTGCTCCCACCTTCTAAGAGGGGAAAGATGCTGAAGATGGAATTCACTCACCAATGGCCAAGGATTGAATCTACCATGCCTACACACAACGTAATGAAACTTCAATGCAAACCCCCTAAACAACAGGTTTGGAGAGCTGCTTGGTCAATGAATAGATCTACTTGCAGGGAGGATGTCAGGCTGGAAGAGGGCTGGATACTCTGTGAAATCCCACTCACCCACCTCTGCCCCACTGCCGTATTTCATCTTCTTCCATTTGGCTGTATCTGAATTGTATCCTTTATCATAAACTGACACTAGTAAGTAAAGCATGTTCTTGAGTTTCCTGCTCTAGCAGATCACGAAACCTGAGGAAGGGTTGTGGGAATCCCAGAATTCACAGCCAGTTGGGAGCACAGGTGGTCCTTGGGACTTGTGACTGGCGTCCTAAGTGAAGATCGTCTTGTGGGACTGAGCCTTAAACCTATGGGGTCTGCACTAACTCCGGGAGTTAGTGTCACAATTGAATTCAACTGTTGGACACCCAGCTGGTGTCAAAAAAATCACAGACCGTGTGTAAGAGTTCATTTAATCCACGGCCTGTCCTGGTGGGCACTTCCTAACCAATCAAGTGCTCTCTTAGGGGGAACAGTGAGCATCAGTTCAGAGGTTGTGAGTGAGAGCCAAAGCTGAGAGACACACAAAGAAAAGCAAAGAGAAACTCTGGGGCTGCAGAAGGCATGCGCCCACTGGAGCCACAAGGCAGGAGATACCATGAGGAGGCAGAGAGGCCGCAAAGCAACAGAAGCTCTGAGACAGGAGAGGTGAGGATGCAGTAGGCGACAGCGGCAGGTGGAGGGAGAGGCAGAGACAGGCCGGCGGAGAAGACTCAGCGGGTGATCACTAAAGCAGGCTACTGCAGAAGACAAAGTACCCAGATCCAAACAACCCTCTGATTCTCCAAAGAGCTTTCCAGACTCCGAGAGCCCTGGCTGAGCTACAGTGGCGATTCTGGTTTCCTCGTTTCCTCGTGGATCCTGCTTGCTGGAAGTCACCTGGCAGGATCTCTGCTCCTTACAAGCATCTCACGTTCCAGGCACATGGGCCTAGGTCTGGCTCAGGAGTCCCTGGCTCCATTTGGCGGAAGGGAAACTTGGAAATGGGAGAAAACTCTGTGGAAAGGCATTGAAAATTCTCAGCCTGAGTGGATGGGCAGCTCCTGGGAACAGGGTCACTGGGTGGACCCGGAGGAGGCAGTTAAGTGCTGCTCAGATGCAGGAGCCGAGAAGCCTGGATCTGTCTCTGACTCACCATAGGACTCTGAACAAAATTCTGTACCCTCTCTGAGCCTCAGTTTCCCCACTAGTAAAAGGAGGTGATTTCTACATCCCATCCCAGTGTGAATGTTTGATGTGAGAGGCAATAATCATCTTTAAAAAAATCTGAGAGGCTACAATCATTTTTTTTTAAATCCAAAAAGGCAATAAATATGGTCATCACTTGTTTAAGAAACACAACATCAAACATTTAAGATGATCAATGCAATTTTATTTTTAAAATCTGAAATGAAAGACTGTACAAGACCAGGTGGGAGGAGAGGGGTCAGGCCTGTGGGTGAATATCCATCTCTACACCAAAAGGGCACCTTCCACTCTAAGATCGGAAGAACCCACTGTTTGAATCCCTCTCCATTCCAGGATGTCAAAAGAATCCAATAGTCTAAGAGGGCTCCAGATTTTAAGTTTCCAAAGGTTCTAAAATTTCCAAGATTTTAAGATTTTAAAATTTCCAAGATTTTAAATTCCAAGATTTAAAGATCCTGAAA